AAGTTCTATGACCCCAGTGATGTCATAAATGATGTCACCCAAGGTCAACGGTGGACAAATGAAGCATTGGACTTACAAGTCGTGCAGGAAACCACGATTCCATGTGCTTGAACTAGGATTAGATCATTCCCGGCGCTAAAATAGCATTTTCCACATTTCCCAATTGACTTATAATGGTGAGTGGTGACCAACCTAACCTCTCTGAAAAAATGCGAGATATATAAGCTGTGAAAACTCTGGAGGATACTAACTAGGTCCTGTAAGTTTCATCTTCCTGTGAAAGCTCCTATGGCACTGAGGGCGTTGCGAAGTTGCGACATTTTAGGACCATGCAGAGGTTCACTTATGACGTCATAGGTCATATGAAGCATTGTCATGACCTGACGCGAACTGAAACAGCGTTGAGGTCACAAGATCCAACTTGAATGAAGGTCAGGTATACAAAGTTTCAGATCTCTATCTCCTGTATTTTTCCGCGCTATCGCGAAAAAATCTATGGGGATCGGAGCGGCACCCACCCCCCTCGGCCGAAGTTTAGACCCCCGGGTGGGTCTAAACTTCATAAGCAGTTTAGAGGAAATTACAGAAAACGATAGGGGGCCAGTAGAATGCCTTAGTCATGTGCGGTTAAATGCGCCTTTACCCTCGCCGGACCATCGGTTTTCGGGGGGGGGGGGGGAAGGAGGGTTGAAAGCGCCTTTACCCTTGCGGGACCTTTCGGTTTTCGAGGGAGGGGGGTAGATTTAGAACCCCTCGCCGTTTCGCCCCGATTTCGCCCTTTGATAGAAATGGTATACTCGCGATCTAAGTTAGGCGACGCAGCGACTATTACCCAATTCTAAGGTCTCAGGTCAACGACAACCAGCGCAGACTGGTTATTGATTCACCTTTTTTGGATCGATTCAATCATTGATTCATTTGATTTTTTTCTGATTCAATCACCGTTTGATTCCTTTAAAAAAATTAGTGAATTGATTCCTTTTGATTCAGAGAATCAAAAAACAAAAAGGAATGATTCACGTTTAATTTAGCCAAAAAGCCTTAACCCTCGCCCATGTAGGGGGGGGGTTGGTGCAACCCCCCCCTGAGGCTTTTCGGAAATAGGTAGTGCAAAAACGGCGGCGCGCAGCGCCGCCAAATTTTGGGTACCTTATGGGGCAAACCTTGCGCATCTTTTGATAAAAAAATTTGACCGGGTCATGTCAGGTCACGGAGTTATGACGTCACAAAGGGAACAGCCTCCGGCCGGATTTTCACAAACTGAGTGCCAACGCCCGAGGTTTCCTGCCGGTGGTACGAAAATCTGTTGATGGATCGTGATGAAACTTCCCATGCATGTTGGGGCAAGTATTGGCTATCATATGGTATAAGAAACTTGACCGGGTCAGGTCAGGTCACGGAGCTATGACGTCACAAGAGGAACAGCGTCCGGTACTATTTTTGAAAAGCGCCCGAACCACTATTTTGCTAATTCTTGTCACCTCAATGGGAATATGCAGCAATATTAGCTTCTATAGGGAGCAAATGGACCTCCCAAATCCAAAAATACAATCAGATTTCAAAAATTTAAATTTTGATTTTTCGAATTTCTGCCGCCGACTGTGACCTTGCCGACTTCCGGCGCTCCCAACGCGCCATTTTTAGAGCTAGGGAAACGAAATACATACCAAACGATAGAGAATTGATCAGGGAACACGATAGTGAAGGTTTCAAGTCGATATCTCCCACCGTTTTGCCGCAATCGCCGCGAAAAGTTGAAAAAGTCTATTTTTCCGAAAATTTGACCTTTGACCGGTCAAAAGTAGGTCAAATGTTGACCTAGGACCAAAAAATATACCACCAATCGCGAGACCTCGGCGAGAGCAATCCGTTGGTCTTTTCCGCTAAGCTCTACGACGCTCCGTTTTCAAACGCCAAGGGGGGGGGGGGTCGCACCAACCGCCCACCCCTGCATGGGCGAAGGTGGCAGATCGCCGTTTACGGGCGAGGGTTAATCATTTTTTTTTCTCGATTCGATTAAAAAAATATAACAAATACCAGATATATTATTGTAGGTATTTGTTGTGTTCTTTTTGTTGTCATACACTTATCATGACATGGTGGTGGTGTTAACATTTGTTGATAATGAACTAACGCTCACTTCAATTTTTTTTGAAGTTCATGAATCGTTAATTTGTTTGATTCAATCAACCCTGATTCCCAATTCGTCAGATTCAATATTGGCTTGTGAATCGAGCAATCCTGGCGGTGAATTAAATCTTTTTGATTCAACAAATTTTCTTTGATTCAATCCAATCGATTCAATCACGGGTGAATCCAACACCAGTCTGAACCAGTGACCTCTGACTCACTTCTGAGATCCAATGGTAGCGTAGCGAGGTTTTGTTTGTTGAATAAAAAAAAAAATGGTCGCGAGCCGCGATTTTAAGCACCATTGTGTTCGTCATGATCAGGGTCATCTTATGCTACATTTTTTGTTTTGCTTGGGTGAGGTCAACTTAGGGTGGATTAAGCACCTCAGGTTAAGCACCGGTGCTCTGAGATTCCGCGCCGGGCCGGGGGGGGGGGGGTGTCTGAACACCCCCTTCTAACTCGGCTCCTGGACCACGTAGCGACACGCGGTAAGCGGCAATCGAAAAAACGTCCAAAATAAGGACGAAAACACTCAGTCATTTTTTGGGTCAGGTCAAACGTCAGGTCACCAGAGGTCACCAAAGGTAAAATGTTGACTATTTCAGCATTTTGGAAACTGCCAACGGCTATCTCGGGAACCGATAGAGCTATAACGCCGCAGAAAAGCGCATTCGATAGCCCTTTTACAGACCTTTCTGAGTATTGTTCTCAGATTTGACCTCAGGTCAACGATTTAGCCTCCAGAGGGTAAAAACTCCAAAAATAGCCGTTTTTACGAAAATCGGTTTTTCGGCGATAACTTTTGACTCAAAAGAGCCATAACATTACTTTTGCCAGCATCGTGTTCCTCTCGTCGAGACGCGTCGAATGAACAATTAATTGACCTTGAAAGGTCAACTTGAAAATTTGACCTCAGGTCAAGGTCATGACCTGACCGGAAAAGGTCATGTTGCATATCAGTCGATCCGCAACGTCAAGCCGAACACATCTAAGGCGTTTTCAGCGCTCTAGCACGCCTCTATCAGAAGAGAGTTCAGTGATCAGAAGTTATTAGCGAAAAACTGTTAGATTCTGTTCGTGACCTGAGATGACCTCGGGGACATAACGAGGGGTCACAGTTGCCATTTTCCGGTTCAGTGTGTCAATTTTACCTACATCTCGATGTTTGAGAGTGTCTAGAATAGCGTTCGTGCAAAACAGACGCTTTTCAATTTTCTCCCATTGACTTGTAATGGAGAGGCCGCAAAATTGACCTGACCTTAGGTCACCGATATCAAAATTCCGAGACAAACATTTTATAGATAATGTTGCTCTAATCAATCGCTGAAAGTTTCAAGGCAATCGATCAATCGGTGTAGCTATGACGAGCATTCTTATTTTTCTGAGGTGAGGTCACTTGGCGTGACCTGGTGACCTGACCTAAGGTGACCTGGGTCTGAAATTTTCACAACATGTGCAGGAAAGATGCACGAACAGGTGTGCCAAAAACGGCGGCGCTCCGCGTCGCCGTTTTTGAGATATCTGCGAAAAACTACAGGGGGGTGTGTGTGTGTTCAAACACCCCCCCCCGGCCCGGCGCGGGTTAAGGTCAGGTCAAAGCCGCTCTTAGCACTAGGTGGTCAAAGAAGGCCTTATTGCATTACATTCGATTAAGCAGGTCTAGCTGTGTCCAATGATAGCCTTACCGAATAGCTAGCTCTAAGCTCAATATGATCGAGAGGCATTAACGAAAAACTCCGTATGACATCAAGTGAACTGAGTGACCTCATGCACGCTCCTCAATGAAAAATCAGCATTGGACCCCAGAAGGAGTGTATTGTCTCACGATTCCAGGTTCTTGTGATGGTTTTTATCATTTCAATCGCCAAAATAGCGGGCTCATTATTGATCGATTGATTTATAATAGTGTGGTTGTGTATACGACCTCACCTCAAGTAACTGTTAGGTAGGAAAGGAAAAATCCGAAATATCAAGTTGTGAGGGACTTCTTCCTTATAATTTTTAGCTGCCGAAAATTTATTGGCACCGAGGGTGTTGCAAACTTGCGACATTTGTTAACCGTGCATGACGTCATAGGTCAGTGACCTGACTTGAACTTGAAAATGTGGTCGAAGTCACTAGGCCGGCTTGAATTAAAGGTTAGGTTGGTTGGTTTGGGTTCAGCACCACATCCAGTGGACCAAAGTGCTAACCGGAACTCTCACGCTGTTCCAAGCGATCAGGCAGCGGCAATGCCACGTGCATTGCCCGGGAATAATTAAAGGTTAGGTTCAGGGTTAGGTTTGTCAGCTTTCAGCTTTCTATTGCAATCACGTCCCGAGGAACTATGAGAAAGCAACGAAAATCGTCAGGGATGGGAGCTGTCAAAGTCGTGGGGCAATGCGAGGTCATCCGGAGTTCGTCAATAGTTATCGATCAAATTGAGCTCGCGAGACGGGAAAGCAGCTCTGACTCAGGAAGACCTGCCGAATAGAATGATATGGGAGATCACCTCATTCGAACAGCTTCAAGACTGAGAGGAGGCAGGAGTGGGGGCACCTGCCTCCTCTCGGCCTGCGATGTCTTCTGAAATCTAACGGCGTAGAGACGGCCAGGGGCGATTTCTGACCGTGTGGTGGGTGACGCTTGCTGTCTAATGTTTGACGTTGGCGGCTCACGGAGGTGACGTCTTGATCTGACGCTGCTCCAACTGCTGACTTCGATGTCTCACAGTGTAACATGGTAACGACGGTAATATCTTGCATCAATGATTCGGCGACGTCCCACCGCGCTGTGGTCCCTGCCGTCTGACGTTCCACTGTGCTTCCTGTCGCAGCTCCGACGTCTCCCCATGCCGACACCACTGACTGCTCGTCCCTTTTTGGCAGGTTACGGGCACATGGTGCCGGCCACCACGGTCGGCCGCGCCATCACCATGCTGTACGCGCTGATCGGGGCGCCACTGTTCCTGGTGCTGCTCTCCGACTCGGGCAAGCTGCTGACGCGCTCGCTGAAGCTGATGTGGGCCGTTCTGAGCCGGCTGGCCGACACGCTTCGCTCGCCGAACCGCTCGCTGCAGGCCGTCTCGGCCGCCGTCCGGGTGGGTGTGTGTTAGGAAGGGAAGTAGAGAGGGAAAAGGAGGGAGAGGGAGGGAGGGAGGGAGGGAGAGGGAAAGAGAGAACGCAGGAGGGAGAGGCAAAGAAAGAGGGGAGAGAGATGTTTGCATTGCACGCGACATGACGATCGATCAGAATTGTATTGGTTTGGTGCATCGTTTGTTTTGTGTATGCAGCCGTATCCAGGGTGAGGTAAAGACCGGGCAACACATTTCATTTGCTGACGCGCATTTCTCGAATTAGATGTTTGGGTAAAGCCGCCAGTGGGAATGTGTTCCGAGCAGCATTTGTAGTGCTTTTGTGACGTTTATGTGGACCAACATAAGCGTCCTGTCGTTTTATGTGAAAAGAAATCGCATGCCAGTGGCTTATTCAGCAGAGCGGTGCTTTACAAATGCATGGCACATTAGCCGAGTGGAGACCGTCAGGAATCTAATAATAGGCGGTGCAGCGGTGATCACGCGGTGTGCTGCTGGGTTGCCGGGACGAGCTGTGGTTGTAGGGTCACCGGTCGGGTCGCCGGGCCGGCCTGTGGTGGTCGGGTTGCCGGGAGTCGCGGAGCCCGCGGGGTCGGCGGCGGCACCGCGCTGAGACCCACCACGTTCCAGCCGTGGACACCGACCGGCTGCTCATTTGGGGGCAGGCCGCCGCCGGACCTCATTTCAGTTGCATTATAAACGAGCGTGAGCCGGGGTCGGCCCGCCTCCATACAGCTGGGAGGTCACCGCCGGCGCCGAGCGACCCCTTCCCTGCACGGGAAGGTCATCGTCGGCGTCATCTCTCGTGACGACCGATCGTCGGTGTCGAGATCCCATGTTTGTGACCGCAAATTAGTTACTAAAACAAACGTTTAAGTAGTGTTATTGTTTTTCATCATATAATAACTTGATTGTGGAAGTCACTTATGATTTTTTTTTTCTCTCGTATTTTCAGATTCGAGCCAGCAGTCCTAGCTATGTGGTGGACGAGCAGTTTGACCTTCCAATAATGGTGGCCTTGTCATTAGCGCTGTGGTAAGTGGGTATTATCCAAACCAATCAATATAAAATTAATGCTTAATTTATCAACATGATCCCATGACGTATCCAATCCAATGATGAATATTTTCAGCTATAGTTCAGATAAAGTTCCACTGATAAAACTGCTCCAGTGAATAATTTCAATTTTACATTGTCTATCAAGGACCTATCTTTCAGTAAAGTGGGTAGGTAATGTTCCCCAAAAGTGCCTATACACTAAGCACCGAACGATAAGATCCATGCCCGATAACAATAATTTCAAAACACAAAACATGTAGGCATAAACGAACGTGAAACGGAACAGATTTCACAAATGACCGGTTCTTGTCACCCTTTTCCTGTCAAACATTTCTTTATGCAACTATGTCCACTGTACGCACAACTAACCACAATGCGCTTGTTTTCAGTTACCTTCTAATGGGAGCAGCAATATTCCAGCAAATAGAAGATTGGAACTACTTCGAATCACTCTATTTTGTCGTTATCTCCATGTTTACTATTGGATTTGGAGACTATGTTATCTCGGTGAGTACTCATATACTTGGCACTTCACTTCAGGCATCCGCATGTTGTTCCACACGTTCTTCCGATTATAATCCAATCAGTCACTTTGCTCGGCCTGTGTAAAACTAGTGGTAAAGTAATCCTGGGTGAGACGGGTTTATGTGATCTGTGGGCTGTGGCAAACGTTACACATATGAATAAATACCTAGCATTTCGGGAAACCCAGAGGGGAGGGAGTGGTCCATTTGCTGAGTGTTCAAACACTCGTCCTCCATCGAAGTGTTGGTAAAGGTGACGTGATAATGTGTACCGTGTTGAGGTGTTGGTAAAGGTGACGTGATAATTCATACCGTGTTTGTTTCCCACAACATGGTCCATCAACCAATTGCCGGGTCACAGTGGCCGCGTTTATCATTGCCGGACCAACAGAGCCGCCCGCCTCGAGTGCCGCACGGGTCCTTTTAGCAGCCCACAGGCGTGACTGGCTCCTGGACCTCCTCGTAGCCTGTTGGCGGACATATCAAAGGAACAATGCGACCCTCAGTGCGTCACACGCCTCTATATGCGCCTGTCAATGATAACATTCACTCATTCACGCGTTTTGACATGATAATAACGCGAATAATTTGAAATGAGCCATCAGTTATGTAACATGCAATGCAAGACACTGAAAATACAATAAAGAAGTAAAATATAATTTATTTATTAATTTAGGGTCTTAGGTCTTGTTGAGGTTTAGACCATTGAAATAAGTTTATAAGTATTATTACTTTATAATACATAATGTATTAAATGTAACGTATGCACCCGCTGAAAAAGTACCCAGCTTTATCATGTGTGCCACAAAGTTGATGTGCAATTTAAAATAGATCTGCATGCCTCGTGCTGACGTGCTGCACATTCGCCTGCAAACAAAGACCTGTAATTCATGGGCCCAGTTCCAGTTTCGGGCGGAACAAAGGCGGCCAGGTAGCCGGCCTCAATTTCGCCCGGTGGTGAGGTTATTTGCAGACCCCGAGTGTCCGGCGCCACCGCTACCGAGCTAAACCAATCTATGCACGCAGTCACGGGCCGGGCAATCGCGACCGTATGTTTCCGGACTGCTGACCCCGTGTTTCCCTGCGCCTGGCCGCTGAAGCCCTCAGCAGTGTTCGCCACGGGCCGCAAAATCCCAGTCCAGCCCAGCCCAGGCCCATGGGTTCACAGCCCGGCCCAGCCCGAGCCCATTCACGGTAAAAGCTTCAAAGCCCAGCCCGGCCCAGCCCGTCAAAAATGAATGGATTGAAAATTATTGACACCACACAGGTACCCATAGGAAGCAAAGAAACAATCTTTTGCGAGCAGCATGCACAATGCACATTGCATGCGTGCTTTATTAACTCGTCTTTTAGTCTTGCACAGTAATAAGCTATGTAGTTATAGTTTTTGTCTCAGTTGCAAACCCCTGACTCCACTTTACAGTTCTTGGCCCAGCCCATCCACAGCCCATCGATCCTGCATATTTGAGGGCCCAGCCCAGCCCGTAGCCCAGCCCAGCCCAGCCCATGGCCCATTGGGCTGGCCCGGCCCATGGCGAACACTGGCCCTCAGCCCAACGCTGGTTCACCCCACGGTCACTGGCGATTGACGATGACTGCTGCTACCTCTCCCTTTCCTGATGTAGAGCGCTGCTTCCCTCCCTTCCCCTAACGGTGACCTCTGCTTCCCCTCCCTCCCCTGACGTTGAGCGCTGCTTCCCCTGCTTCCCCCTGGCGGTGACCAGTGACCGCTGCTATCCCTCCCCCTCCTGACATTGACCGCTTGTATTCCTCCCTTTGACGTTGACCTCTGATACCCCACCTACTGACGTTGACCGCTGCTTTCCCCTCCCTCCTCTGACGTTGACCTATGCCAGCCAACCTCCCCGTGGCCGTGACCACTGACCACTGATACGCCGCCCCTGACGTTAACCTCTGGTATTCCCCATCCCCTCCGGCCCAGCGAATACCAAACGAGCCACTTCCAAAGCGCGCAGTCGTAAAACTTCCCTGGTTTATATTCCAGTTGGCCCACTCAGAGGTCTTTTGACAGATTCCCTGTACCTATTACATATAGTGGAATTCGTCGTCTCGCAGTTGGTAGCATTCCACAATCCTTTTACTATGCAGTTAAACCGTTCATTATTTGATTATTAACTGGGCCTTTTTTGTTATGAGATCATCTGTTGTCAAAAAGCAGGGCGTCTGCCGTCTTCACAGTCGAAGAACGGCGTAATGTCGTCGCCAGTTGGCGTCGGGTAGGTATTTGTGCGGCACGTAATATAATAATCAGTGTCCGTTGTGTAGCAGCTCGGGTTATTATCATTGTGCGTGCCTGCCTCCGGCCACTGGCGGGCGATAGCCTTGTTTGTCGGTAGGTACGTACATACGGCCTCAGTTGTGCTTCCTATCAGCAGTAGAGCACGGACTGGCACGCCGGAGCGGCAGTGCTAGGCACCGTTTGCAGGCAGAGTTCGCGGCCAGGGGGCCCACATTTTGTTTGCCTATCGGGGTTAAGCAATCAAGTGGGCCCACATTGACGACCGTTCGGAGGCCTAGAGCTGGGGGGGGGGGGGGGCAGCGGGCCCACACACCGTTCATAGGCTCAGAGGCCAGAGCCGGCGGTCGGTTGACCCACCATCCACGTTGACACATCGTTCGGTGGCCGCTTATCACCTTTTATGTCGCTGACGTCACCGGCGTCACCAGCGCTGCAACGAGGACCGCCGCCCCGGCACTCGGGTGCCCCCATGATCACTTTACTAATAGCCGGCCTGCAGACCGCCACTCAAAGCCACGCCACTTGACCAACACTCCGACTGCCTTCCATTGCAGGATTCGGCCACGATGGCCGCGTCGATGGCGTACTTTGTCTTCGGGCTGGCGCTCACCTCCATGTGCATCAACATTGTCAAGGTGAGGTCTGGGCTGCGGCAGGCGGCGGGTGCGTGGCGGCCACCCAGTCGATCCTCTGCGGCCATCCGTGCCGCTATTTCGGGCCCGGCAGCCGTGCATGTGCCGGGGGAAATGACGGCGCTCGATACCGCTCCGCCAAATAAGGAGCCGACCCACAGCCGACAGTGTCAATCTATAAACTGTTCGATTGAGATCCATTTTAATTTGTGTTATGGCGAGGACAATTATCGGATCATCATGGTAATAGGCTGCTGCGGTGGCGCCAGTTTTGTTGACGTGGCAACGCCGCTGGGGACTAATTATACTGCGTGGACCGCGGGAATAGGTAAAGTGGAAGACATAACGAAATTAATTGCCTGTCAACATGGAAATGAACCTTGATAATGATGATAAGTTGTCTTGCAGGCCGCCACCGACACATGTGTAATAACATCGTAGCATGTAAGATTTGGATACAAACACAATTTCCTCTGAAGTTGTGCGACTGTGCGTGCTATTAGTTATTTCTTCTCCGAAACAATGCCGGCAAGGCGCTGCCTTCCGACTACCAGGATCCCGGGTTCGAGATAATTGACATTGCATAATATGCGCATTGCGCATATAACTTGCTGTTTGCTGGATCAAGCAGCTAACTACACCCAGTGAAAGTCCTTGAATGGAAAGACTGTGGCCAAGGGTGCCCCAAACCATCATCACCATTGATACGCTGCTTCTCAGTTCCTGTTCACGGCCGGCGCGCGCACTCGCCCCCTGACGCCGCTCTGTCCCCTGTGTTCCAGTTACGCTTTTCTGCTTTCTTCACGACGGTGGGAACGACCATAACCGACCAGCTGCGGAAGGGCTCGCGCTCGCTGACACCGCGCCGTGTAGAGGTGGCGCCTGTGCACGGCGCCGACCGGGGCGAGGCCAAGGTGGCCTGGCACACCAAGAGCCCGTTCGTCAGCAGCTCCTGAGGACCGGATGGCTGGTCCGGCGGGATGCTGAGGCGCGACAGTCGGCAGGGAGACAGCTCTGCCGTGACCCACCGTACCACGGCAGTCAGGACAGTTAGAGGTCTGGATAACGAAGAGGATCGACGACAGAGCGGATGATTGACCTGCTCACCATAAGCCGGCTGGGGGCGCATTGAGGTCGGGTTGGAAAGCCCCGTGTCGTCAGGCAGATGGGCGGGTGCGGGAGCGGGGGCGGGGGCGGGTCGATGACCGTCAGAACGGTGACACGCACTCCGCCCGGCCCCCGCACCGGCGCCGGGGGAGCGGCACGGCGATCCTCTTTACGTGGTGACAATGGCGCCGCGCCGCCACACACCGGCGGTGACCAGTATCGACACTCGACAGGTGGGGCGGCCAGGGTGAGCTCACCGGGGCGTTACCAGTTACTGCCGTCCAGTGCAATCCAATCCAGTCCAGTCCAGTGCTGCTGTCAGTCCGGTCCAAAGCAGCTATCGAGTCTAGTTCAGTCCCATCATCTAGCTCTTCATCCACTCCAGTTAGAGACTGCCGTCCAGTCTTGTCTAGTACCATCCAGTTCCGTCCAGTTTTGCCGTCCGCTCCAGTCCAACGCCTATGTGGTGACAAGAGGCATTTAGAAGGAATGCACGTCTATTCCACTGGCGTCCCGCCATGCTATTTACCTACGCATTGCTGCTGCAATGAAACAGTTGCTATAGTTCGTTTTTCCTAAGTTTGCCCCTCACTGTAAACGTCTTTTTGAACATAGCACGAGAATTGCTAGCTGAATTACTGAGAAAACTGGTTGGCGCACATTGATTTCACCAGAATTCACAGACGATCAATTTCATCAAATTTGTTTACGATTTCACAGACTCATAGCTCGTATTTGCCCATACCTACAGCTCCACAGTGATAGACGACTTTTCAGGAATTATGTCTGAACTAAGTAATAAATTGCACAGCGCTTAACATTAACGTTCCATCGTCGGTGTTCAAAACTTATTTTGAAAATATTTTTCATATCTCCAATACAATGTGCGCCAACCAGTTTTCTCAGTAATTCAGCTAGCAATTCTCGTGCTTTGTTCAAAAAGACGTTTACAGTGAGGGGCAAACTTAAGAAAAACGAACTTTTTTATAGTTTCTTCATAACTGCCTCGATTTGACAGGAGGTGAAAATGCTCTGTTATTGTTACTTGTAGATGTGTGTAAGAACGGTCCGAGTCTGCGACCCTGTCGACATTTGTCCTGTGATATATTCTGGATAGCCTTCTAGCCGCGTTTCGTGGTGGACTCTCCATTGACTAGGGAGTCATAGATTCATAATGCATATAGTCGGGCCCCTGGTATTGCCGTTCCCGCGAGCGTCCGGCACGCCTGCCGGTCGATAGGACGATGCGACGGAGTCCCATTATGTATGCCACTGAACTTCTTATGCATGTCTCAACAGAGTGTTATTTTTGTGAGTCATTACCTGATCGATGGTGCAGATTGTGTGCGGAACGGTAGATATTTTAACCGCAGACAGACATGCAGTCTTGTTGTGTGTGAAGCCAGCTTTAGGAGTTGAGAGCCACTTACCGGGCCCGTCCTCTGCACAGATGCGCTGTATTTCGAGGCGCCAATAAAGGGCCGTTGCCATATCCCGTGTCTGAGTTCGTAACCGCAGCGCGGTTCTCCACGCAAAAACACGTCGAGAATCGAGATGCATCGCTCCGTTCCGGTAGTTAAGGGTTGGTGAGTGGCTAAAATCCGCTCAGAGGGATGCATCGTCGGGCAGTTTACTGGCTGAGGAAACTATACCTGGGACCGATATGCAGGCAAACTCGCTGTATTCTCAGGCGCAATGCCTTGAATTTGCCGAGACATTAGGTGTTATATTGTTCACCCTTCAGCCAACTCAAATCTTAGCTGTTTCACTAGTCGATTTCCGTAGTCTTATCATAAACAGCAATTTGCTTTTGCGCATGCACCTTTTATGAAGCTCAAAACATTAAATACGATTTAAAAGACAAGTTTGCTTTGAAATATAATGTTTATTCTGTTGCGACTTGCAACTGTGCATTTCCCTTTCCCATACCACACACCCTGTCCCTCATATTGGCACAATATCAGCCCACCTCCCCTATATTGCACGATTATATACAATCTATCAGTTAGTTTGCGTCTCACGCCAAGCTCGGCTGGCCAGTGTGGCTACCTCTAGGTCAAACTCGCGCCGATCATTCCGAGTAATCACTAAACACTGAGCAATGTGGCAGTGGGGCCCCGTATCGCTAGCACACCCAGCTGCTGCCAGCTACGTCGCCGTTTATCCGGGATGCCCCAAACACTATGTAGACCGGACCCGCCCACCGTCCCTGCTCCCCAGAGCTACGTGTGGCCGTCCAGGGCCTCGCGTCATGACGGTCGCATTTTCACAGCGCTGTCGGTTACGCTAATAGCCGAGCGGATCGCTGTGAAGGGATCCGCTTTTAGAACGGTAAGCGGATACAACTCTTAAATGGCAGCAATCCGTCAAAATATGGACTAATTCCTGTACCGGGTCAGGTCAGCTATACCATTGACCTCTGGTAGAGAATACCGATACACAGAGGCCTATGGTTTAGTCTGGCCCCGTCAGTGCGACAGGGTCTGATCGTGACCGCCGACCGGCAAACGGGCGGATATATAGACGTCGGCTGCCGCCGTAGCGATCCCATTTCCCGTCGGTGACGAGGCGCCGGCACGCCAGCGGACGCCCCGGCCATTGTCCTATATCTATGCGTCAATACACTCAAGGTGGGCGCGAACGCAGTGGAAAGGGACGGGCTGAGTGGCACTGTCCCCCCCCCCCCCGCCTCCCACCTACCACCCCAGACGGCACCAGTCACTGGTGGACTAACAAACGCCACATGGTCCTGATACAAAAATAAACTACGAAACCTTGTCACTCGGCAAAAAGTCGGGGGCCTCAGTACGGGGTCGCGGTGCGGGGTCACCTTTCAGGGCGGGGTCGGCAGCAGGCCGGAGTCGGGCGCCGGCGTCCAGATGATCTTCTGTAGCTGGCGGAACTTGGGGTGCGCCGAGTTGGGCGCCAGGCTGAGGATGGCACACTCGCTGGTGGTGACGAAGCCGCCCAGTCGCCTCACGCGCTCCAGCGCGTACACCCTGGTGGAGTGGCGCAGAGTCACGCCGGGCCCATACCGCGGTGCAGTCCACTCGGACGTGATGCAGCCAGTTAGGAGAAGGCCAGGTTATAGTCACCGGAGCGACTGGTTCAGCGCCGTGGGATCGAGGAGGGGCAGCAGTCCAAAACACTACAATTTACGCAGAAATTTCAGTCGGTTCGGTGACGCATGAAAATAATTATCCGCTACTACACCTTACCAGTTGGAAGTAGCTGAGCTAAGATCGTAATGTTTTACACAATCGGAAATTTACAACGTGGTCTACTTCACTTAGCGTATTATAGCAAGCATGATCGGTCAAATTATAACAAAAGTAATGAAATGACATAGATCATCCAGAATACGTGGAAAGGTTGATAAGAGTCGTCGAATGACTTTCGACCATCTGCGTTCGATAATTCCGCACCACCTACGTACATACAATATGTTGGCCAAAGTTTGACAACATAATGCGTCGTCATTTTCCATCATCAGCGAACAGCTTCAATGGGGTGAATCAGTAGCAATGGTAATGGTGGACAGGGTAAGTTGTGAGATAGGCCGTCCCTTACATTAAAATGGTAAAACACACACGTTAAGCAAAAAACATTAGAGACAGCGTGTCTTCTATAATTATAATGGAAAATAACCCAATAATGCCGGTGGATCGGCGCGTCGCGGGTTTAACAGCCATACCTATTGCCCAGCACTGCGCACTGCTCACCGGTCCAGGTGGCTGCGGGAGGCGCACGCGTCCGCCACCACGTGCACCTCGTAGTCGCGCTCCAGCAGGTCCATGGTGGTCTGCAGGATGCACGCGTGCGTCTCGATCCCACACAGGATCACGGAGGAGATCTGACGGTGACGACGCGAGCGGGTGTCAGGAGGTGGATACTGCCGAGCCGGATGGCCGTCACTGCATACAGCCGACGCCGACTTCATTTTCTCATATTACCTACACCCGCTTCGGCCGTTTCGGCCAATACTGAATCAGATGCCAGCTTTACCAGCAGATTTGCCGGCTGCTGTTATTTTTTGTCTATAGTTCGTTTTTTTTTTTCAAAAGGACGCTGGCTCCAAGTATGTTTTTCGAACAAGCACGTGTTTTTGCGAGCAAAACGAGCAAAAACTGAACCTGAGAAACTCGAACGTCGCCTTATTTTAACATGTGAATTATTCCCGATAAATTCCATGCCTGCGTTTTGGAACTAGACATGAGAACAGTGGTGACGTCATGCTGTGGAACTTGCATTGCAATGCAATGCATAACTATCATGGAAAGAACCGCTTACTCGATTCGGGCCTCGGTAAGAGCAAAAAAAAAACGAAGTTTTCCCAAAATTCGTTGGCAATGAATGCTTTCGCACGGACACTGGGTGCCAGGTGCCACCAGTGACGTCATCATAGTATGCTTATTTTGAAGTCACAATTTCCATGTATTTACCGAGCACAATTTGAAATCGATCATTTTTTCGGCAGGAAATTCTTAGCCAGACGCTGAAGTTGCCAAAACTCACGTGAGAGCTTCGATAATGAACTTTGAGCCAGCGTCCTTTTGAAAAAACACGAACTATAGTCACTCTGGATTTCGTCAGTCATGCGGTAAAATAAGTTTTTTTTTTGCGTGAATATTGAGACCGTTGAATAAAAACATCAGCATCCGTTGAATTTTCTGTAGGTAAACATAGCATCAGGGTTACATTACAAAGACCAAGCAACAGCTTTCCAAGCGGTTATGTGCCAAGCAATCTTGACACTAATTACTTTATGCCGTTCACTATCGCAACGTAGTGTCTTTAAAAAAAGTACTACAAACAGTCAAACACAGCAATGTGCTACAGCATTATTAGGTACCTATCACGCAATCGCCTATGCATGAGATGAGCCCCAACACCATTGGGAAACTCCACCGTAATCCCACACTCACGTTTTTATTTGCCTTGAGCATCTCGTCCACCTCAGGAACACACATGGAAAACTGAGTCTTAGCGATGGGAGTCAGTCCGTACTTTTCCACCTCCAATTCCGGGACAGTGTGACCCAGACCTGCCGAGAACGAACAACAATATCGTTATTTTTTTCATAGCATACCATGGTTATATTCGTCAGCATTCAGCGCCGTATTACAAATACGTATATTTATTCGTAAAACGTGCATTCCGTTTACGACACCTATATCGCTGTCTGGCTGAAATATCAATTCGATCATGCACATGTTTACAGGATTGGTGGGTATAAAACGTGTAAGCAGATTGCTCAAAACTGACAAACGGTTGGTGTCGCCCGCCTTATGATCGCTCTTATACACTGAGTCATGAGTGAATGAAAGTTTACTAACCCCGCGTTCGGAGTCTCTCGGACGACGAAGATTCTATGTCGTCCGGCCAATCTCGTTCCATAACCGCAGCCAAGCCCCGCTGACCTTGAACGGGATTGGCCGGACGACGAAGAATCTTCGTCGTCCAAGAGACTCCGAACGCTGGGTTAGCCTCGATCAGCAGCGGGCACCAGAGGCAATTATTTTCCGGAGAGGCAGCCCAGGCATAGTGCATAACTATCGACCATAGTGAAATAGCACACAATCCTGATAGCTACTGCGCGATATGGTTCAGGCTCGAGTTGCCAAAATGCCGGGCATCAACGAGTTTACAATGCTGTCTATGAAAAATACGTAATAGGTACTTATAGGTTATTCGCTGGTGCTAGTCCCGAGCTTTCACATTCGGATGTAGCTTATTATCATTATTATCATTTTTACAGCGAGCCGAGTAGCATTCTAGAAAACTGACACGATTGTCAGTCTGAGCTATGCAGCAGACGGCCTAATTTTCAAGATCCTATTCAAGCGGTCTTCAAATGGAATACGACGCTTTGATAACATGATCCTACTTAACAGTCAACATCGGCATCAATGATAGCTCTACCTGCTAAGTAAATAGTTTTATTGCATTGTTAAAATGACTGTTATGGCCAGGGGTGTCGATTTTTCAAAATGGTTGAGGGGTGCTCAACCCCTGCACCGGGTGAAAGATTGCAGCTTTGCCATGGGGCACAACCGTATAGGGTTGGTTATCCCCAAAAGGTACTGAATACTGATAATGCCGAGATTTCCACTAATATTTCCCAAGGGCAGAACGTTCTTCTTGAAAATCATTCCGCTCGCCCTAGTACTTGGCTACCTTAGTTATTACATAAACATCTTTCCGAAAAAAGTCGTATATTTGCCGGCAGTATGGCAGCAGCCCCGGCACCTCTGTTAAAAGGTGACAGAAACCGATGACGGCGATTAGCACCGGTGCAGCAGTCGCTGCGGTCCGCAGGGGCGGACATTGCGCGGAGGCAACGGTAGCTACGATGCTCTGGCAGTAATTAGACGATCACAATAATCGCTGAAAAAATGAAAGGTGATCGCATTTGGATATTTACAGGTTTACGATTTTCCTCAGTGGCGTAGCCAGGTGGGCCCGTGAGGCACGTGCCCCCCCCCCCCCCCATCAGGTTCAGGGTCCCCTCGGGTTATTCGGGCCTTAGGGGCCCTGCGGCGCCAATTGGCCGATAAGGGTCCATGTTGACCATATTTGGACTCAGAAGGGCCCCACAGGGCTCGTAAAAACACCTCATGGGCCCACAAGTATCAACAATAAGATCTCCATAAGGGGCCAAGCCAGCCTCTGAGGGCCCCTTACCGGCCTCGGAGGGCCACTTGCCGGACTCTGGGGGTCCTAACCGGCCTATTCCCAGCCAGCAAATTTGGCCTTGGCCGTAGCTGGTTTTACTCTGGATAGCTCAGGCATTTGCTCCGGCTAAAGTACGGGCAAGGTCTGGGGCTCTACTGGAGCTGACACGATCCCGGAGCTCGCCCGCACCACAGCCGGACTTATGCCGCATCAGCCGTGCCGTACCTCCACCGTACTTCAGCCACAGTAAGCCAGAGCAGCTATGAGGCAGCCGGACTGGTCGTAAGGGAGCCGGACTTGAGCCGTGGCAGGGAGCCGGACTTGAGCCAGACTTGGCGGTCCGGAACCATACCAACCCGGGAGCGCTACGGCCAAGACTGGCTAACCGGAATAGAGCCGTATCGACTATCGACCCAAACCCCGGCTCTGACGGCGTTCCTTTTATACCGGCCCGAGTCTGGCATGTCGGAGTTGCCGGGGCAAAACGGACTTGCGCCGAACCAAATTGCTGGCTGGGTTAGGGGGCTCTGGGAGCTCTCTGGGAGCTCCACACCCGCCTGTAATAGCCCCACACCTATTTCTCTGAGGGCCCCTATAACGGCGACTGTGAGGGCCCTCACCGGCGCCTCTGAGCGCCACACCGGCGTCTCTGAGGGCCCCACACCCCTAACTCTGAGGCCCCACACCAATGCATTTAAAAACCCCACATGGGCGGTTCTGAGGGCCCTTGTCAGTTATCAGCGACCCTGACGGTCCCACACAGGTGACTCGGAGGGTCCCAGCGGCGTCTGAGAGCGCCATGCCGGTCTCTGAGAACCCCACAAGGCTCCTGATGGCACCGGTGACCTCTTGATATCTTCTTGTCGGCCTATGAAGGGTCCGTTCCGTAACAGCAGTTCTGAGGGCCACACGCGCGCCTGTGATGGCCCTAAACCAGTGTCTCTGAGAGCCCCCACAACGGCGCCTATGAGGGCCATACATTGCCATATCTGAGGGCCCCACACTAGTGCCTCTTAAGGCCCTATATCGGCGGCTTTGAGGGCCCAACATCGTCGCTTCTGAAGGCCCCACAAGTGCACATGTGATGGCCACCCACCGGTGACATTTGAAGGCCCCACACCGGCGACTCTGAGGGCCCCATCGGCATCTGAGCCCGTGCCGGTCTCTAGAGACGACCCGTGCCGGTCTCTAGAGACGACCCCACAGGGTTTCTGAAGGTACCACCGGCCTCTGATGGCACTTTGCCGGCCTCTGAGGGCCCGTCGCCGGTCTCTGGAGCCCCCTGCCGGCTTGTAAAGGGTACACGCCATCAGCTCTAAGGGTCCGACACCCGTCTACGACGGACCCACACCAGTGTCTTTGCAACTTAACGTCTTTTTACGCCCGTCTTCTTAAGACTAACTTTTACTTTCTTTACATCTTTACTTCATGCATTGTAAATTGCGTAATTGTTTTATTTTTAGTAGTGAAAGACTGCGGAACCAATTATTTTCCTCAAGCAGAGTTAGTGGGAGTTTTTGAGGGACCAAATCATTGGGGATGCTAAACTGGAACATTTGGGGGTGCCCGGCAAACCATTGGGGGTGCTCATTTGAGCATTGGGGGTGCTGCAGCACCCCCAAAGGTATACAAATCGACACCCATGGTTATGGCTGTTTTGAGAAAGTACCGGTTTGGAAGTACCGATGTACTTTTTCAGAGTTTTCACCTTTGGGGTACTGCTCGGTGACGATGCTCGGGATGTCCAGGACCGAGGCAGCCTGTAGCAGGCGGTTGGAAATCTGCACCACCTCAGCAAAGTGTTTGATGTTGGGCCGGAACTTCTCCTGCATGTCACACAGGAACAGTGCAGTGTTCTGTGGCACCAGCCGGCCCAGACTGCGGCCCCCTACTGCTGCTGCTGCCGCCCGCACCAGATTCCCTGCCATCGTCTAGAAGCTGGCTGAAAATACACATTAATTCAACTCATGTAGATCCAGGCTGAAAATGGACCTCAGGTGGCTACATTAGCGCGGCAATCAACTTGTATACACGACCTCACTGTGGTTTTAAGGAAGTCATTTAAATGAATACCGACAGAGCTCATGTCATAATTGAGTTATATTCTACATTGCATTGCACAGTTTTTAGGGTTTGATTAAACATGGCAATTCAGCAAAGGTAATGAGCAAAATTTAATTGTTGAAAAAATCGGAACAACTAGCAGACGGGAGCTACCAGATAGCACTTTAATTACTAATTAGGCTGAGTTCCTGACAATTTCACTCAATTCATGATGCACACAGAAATCTTATTACTTGCAAAACTCGAGAAAACTCAAATCAATGCGACTGTCATTGTCGTTGGCACATCAATGACATAAAGAACGAGAATGTCACATGAAAATTGACTTACAAGTCACAGTATCAGATAGGCATCAGTTTTGATATACAGTTTTGCACGTTGTTTATCATGTAGGACGATTATTATAATTATTCTAAATCATTAACAACGCAAAATTGAAATACATACATCCGGAAGCCACAATCGAATTCCAATCATTTTTAGAATTTTCATCTATCGTAGCATCTGCGCCATTTCTGTTAAATATTGTAGTTTATGTTCAGTCGAAAATAAGCCCATTAGGTAAAGTGTTTACTGACGCAAAAGTTTCACTTCTACAAAATAAATGGTCACAACTTAGATTTATTTGAAATTATAATTCTTATTTAAAATTTTTCTTCTATTGATACTTTTTCAAACAAGACAAATTTGAACTTTGATTTCCTCACAAAGCAGTTACCATGGAAACTGCTCATGCTGACAGAGATTGCTATTAAAATTAAACAGGTATCTGGTGTTATTGCCTTTCCTTGGCCTTTCCGCAAAAAATAGCGCGGTACCCTTGAAGCTAAGCATTAGAGGTGGCAAAAGATGAAAATTTTGGGAACCAGACTCGAACCAGACCCGGCTGGACATTTCTGGAACCAGTCGGACCCGGTCTTAGTTGGAATCGGAACCAGTTGGACCCGTTTCCCAAAAGTCAATTAATACAAACTACTTGTAGGTATCATTAGTTGCATCATGTAAAACAGCCTATTTCCCACTGGAAATACTCATGAGCTACTGTGTGCAAAGAAACATTCACTTCATTCACTTCATATTTTGCAATAATGTGTAGTGTGCAAGATGTATAGTTTATGGTAGGACCCGGTTGGACCCGTCAGAAAATTTCCAGGAACCGGTCTGGACCCAGATGGGTCCAGACTGGTTCTTTGGACCGGGTCCTCGGGTCCACATTTTGCCACCTCTACTAAGCATCGATCTTTCAATTATATTGCGCTGAAAACTGACCACAGCAGAAACAGGTATATTTTTTCAATATAGCTTATACACGCCACACGGCATAGGTAACAATCCCCAGGTATTTATATCAATGGGGTTTCATCATGAGCGAATCTTAATTCCTAGGTCAAGGTTGGTACAAACGCAAGAAACGAAACTTGTTTAGGCCTGCGACCTGTCGAGCTGGTAAATCCTATTCAAATGCTTTTGTTGATGTTTCTCAATAGTTTGAGTGAGAAACACATTTAGCTTCAGGGTTATAAGCGACTGGAACTCCTTAATGAGTGCAGTGGTCGACGGTCGTGGCACGGTCTGTCAACCAGTTTAAGGCCCAGCCGGACAAGCACTGGGGTGGTATCAACTATCATGTACCACACCCCCTATCCCTGAGATCCTGATACGAGCTTGTTGAGAGCGGGATCCCCAGGCCAAGTGGTCTTTTCAATCTAGATCATTACGAGGCATGAAGGTAAGGTAAGGTAACAGCAAAATTGTGGGCTTTGGGTCGCTGGACTCATAGACTGTACCTACCAGGTACCTAATTCTTTAGAAAGAGGGTATCAAGATATTGATATGAGAAGTTTTTGGCATTTCGATTTTGTCATATTACTAATCTTTCTCATCTCTTGGTCAATGGTCAGCAAATTTTTGTCCACTCATTCCTTCATATTCACATTTCCTCATCTTTAGGTTAGGCTGGGTAGATCAGCTTATTTTAGGTTGATGAAGAAATGGAATACAAAGAAATGTGTGCATGAGGAAATGTCAATGCGCACACAAATTTGCATAAGAAATTCTAAATTGAAATGAAGATTGCCCTGGAAACAGTGGTAGGTGCCTACTTATTTTTATGCATTTGATCTGTTTCAAGGCTTCAGGCAGTTGACTTAGATTTGATCTGTTTCAAGGCTTCAGGCAGTTGACTTAGATTTTTTTTTTAAATAACATTTGTCATGCAGTCATCTTCTGTGCATTTATAGCCTTTCTAACTACCTATGTCTGTCCACAGTCATTGCTGGAGGTGAAAACTAAAGGGAACACTGCAGACCACTGAAGGTGGAACTTTTGCCAGTGAGGCAAAGAACCCGCAGGATCACACCAGCATATGGACAACATGATGCCATCAGCTACAGAATCTGTGTCAGAGGCTGGTGCAGGCAACTCTCCTGCTAAAACCAGAAGTCCAAAGAAGGGCATGAAGCCACTTGCCACAAGCAATGATGGAGACACAAAAATTGTTGTCACAGAATCTCTCCCAGAAATTAAGTAAGTGTTTTGAGAGAACTTTTACAAAAATGTCAAGCTGTAGATAAGCAGTAAGAAGAAGAAGCAGTAGAAGTAGAAAGAAAACTGTTCAATACATTGTCATGGGAATAACAGATGACACTAAGTGATAATAGATATATGTTTGAGCTCTCAAGGCTGCTGTTTGCCACTTGCATGCCAAATAGTTGATAAAGCTAATTAACATGGCCCTGAGGCAGCTCATTCCTTGTCATTTACATCGGTACATGAAGCAGGTACCAATTAATTACCTAATTGTTTTCCTGATGTAACATCACACATTCATTTACTCAGGCCTCTGGTATTTATATTGTATTTGTCAGCCACACTCATGACTCAGCGACCAACCCGGAATCTGTTTCAGGGGAAAGACCGCCGGGAAGCGTAAAGGGCGTGTGATTGCTTCCCGGTACAAGGAGTCGGCGAAAAGCCGCGCCGTGGCCACTCCGACCAAGATGTCCGACTCGTCGTCCATCTCGATCAACCAGAGCAAGCTCTTCTCGACGGCTACCTCCAGGTGACTTCTTGTTGTTGTTTCTCCCTCCAGTCCCCTCAAGGAAATGGGGGGCATAGCCAGCTCGCTCAGTTGGGCGCGGAAACCGGCGGCCGAGGCTGCATTCCCTGCATTTCCGTATCCTTGGGATGGATGGTGCCCGCGCGCCAGACGTCGCCCCGCCAGCGGCCAGAGCCCGGCAGCGCAGCAGGACGTGCCGCTGGATGTCTACGTCCTTGCGGCACACTCGGCAGAGTGCGGCCGGGCACTCCACGGAGTTGCATTGGACATATTCGGACGTCGATCGGCAACCGATACGATAAAAGTACTGCTCCGAGCTCGACCAGTGACTGGCCCGGAGCTGATGTACGTCGACCGTGGAGGTAGAAAGGCAGTCCTTTCTAGAGATTTCAATCAGATACCAACTTTTTGGTATATCGATACCAAACTGATACCAACTTGGTTTTGGGTATTTCACCCCTAATTTGTTTGGTATTTTGTTGGTATCATGAACCCTCACTGATGTATAAGAGGCTAAGAAATTGGCAAAAACTTGGCATTTCCCTCGTGTTCCCAATTTGTTTGGTTTCGGTATTTCCCTACGGTTTCGGTTGATATTTGGTTTGGTATCAGCATTCCGATTTTCTGTAATTGACGTCGCTAGTCCTTTCCTTCCCTCATCCGGTTCCGGTAGACGGGAGCTCCAGATGAATTTGTACCACCCGTCTGGCCAGCCCCCCCCCCCTCCATCTCCCAGAGGCGGAGCGAGTAGCCGCTCCGATTACCATGGTGGATTCATCTGGGGTGCAGTCTTGATATGGGCTGCCTGGCGTCGACCCCGTCGTGATAGCGGAGGTGGGCCTCCCCAAGATGGCCTCCCCACCGTGCACATGTGCCGCGACATCAGAGTGGCAAGCCTACTAGCTCTGTCGGCCTCACTTACCGCGGGGGCCCGCTCAGGCGACTTCCTCACAGCGTCTCTCGGTCCGTCTGCGTGTCCGGCCTGGTTAATACTGACACCGCTTGATTGGTTCGTTCGTTCATTGGGGTTTACGGGCGCGTCGACTGCGGTGGTCATTTTGCGCCCACCCGCTTGATTGGTTAAGTGCTATTCATAGAAATATTGTTCCCTAGCTGCACGTGCGAAACTGTAGTTCCTAACAGTTCGCGATAGTTGTCTCACAAAATTTTAGCATTTCTGGTTAGTGGTTACCCGGGCCAGCATTCTGCCCGAAATCTGTGAGAGGTTAGGCGATTTATATTTTAGGCGATTTATATTTTAGAGACACGTCAAACGATACACAAATTTGACCATGACCGCTGCTCGGTTATTGTTTATATTATTTTGCGCCTCGTTTTCCCTTTTGGAAATCAAACTATTCTTTTCTGTCAGTACACCTGTGTCAGCCGCTGGGAAGACTCTGGATACGTCTGTTCGACCGAAAGCCCCGCCGAAAATGGCGCCCCTGGACACCACAGTGCGGCACCTCTCTTCTGCCGTCCCTACCGTCCCTGGAAAAGGTCAGTCGAGCATTTGCGGAGCTTTTTAAACAGCCTATGACCTATTCAAGTCACTGAGATATAGTTAATAACTTGTGTACGGGATTTATGTCACATCGATGGCTTATGTAGTCGGTGCTGTTACTCTACGTATCTCCGTTTGTATTGTATTACAGATAAACCTCCTGTCCAAAAGAAGAAGGTCGATAAATCGGCCACCGTCAGAACGAAGCCGCTCAGAGTTGACCCTCCAGCAAAGACGCAGGTTAGCGAATAATAGAGCGGTGTTCACTAAATTCAACGAGCACCTTATTATGACAGCACTGATAGACTGTAGATAATTGACGCAACGCTCGCACAATGATATGTGATCAGTCTTCTCGTTCACAATTTGTGTTTCTCATGTTTCTTTTCGATGACATATGATGGCTTGTTATACAATTTGGTTTTACACGTTTCATCCCATGGAAAATCGGCTGATTATTATCACGTTTATCGTGATGAATGCATTAAAAGATTGCTTAGGTACCTATGTATACATGAGGATTGCGCAATTGTTTGTTTTACTTATTTATTGTACATTTTTTCTTATACGTTTCTACCTACTGCTGAATTGGAAGGCATACAAATGAATGTAGAACCGAATTTTGTAGAACCGCCGTATGTGATGCGCATTTGGTAACTTCCCAATCGAGACCACTTCGCTTAATTGCGCTAAGAAAGGGATGACTTGGCGATACCCATTGACTCTGTGTCATTGTGGCCCATCACCAGAAGGGAGCGGAGAAGGAGTGCGTATCCGAGCACCAGCTGCTCTACAACCAGTACTTGCAGTGGACCTACCTGGGTCGAATGGCGGAGGCCTCTATGCGCCGGGAGCAGCCGCAGCTCGCTGTAAGTGGTCGGCCTGAGTGCAGCAGCTGCACTGAGTCACTGTCCGGGGCCCTCAATGTGAACTCTGTGCGGTCGGTCCATCGTCCACTTGTCGCTCGGGCCGTTCTATTTGCCAACTATCGGTGTATCGTCTCCCATGTGTCGTTTTCCCCGTTTAATGTGCGGAATCTCGGTGTATCGTCACCAATGTGTCGTTTGCGCCGCTCGGGCCGTGCTGACGTGCGGTTCTTTCGACAGCACCAGGCGCAGCAGCTGGCGGGCCTGGTGGACACGGCTGGGAACCACTGCGCAGACCTGGAGCGCAAGAGGCAGGCGGTGACGCTGTACTGCGAGATGGCGCAGCTGGAGCGACAGCTGGACACAATCCTGGCCGACATCAACGGTAAGATACACGGCTGACGGTATAGCTGATTCCTGGCAGTTGGACACGCTCCTAGTCGCTGTTAACGGTAGGACACTCTTCTGACGGTAGGACATATACCTGACAGTTGAACAAACTGTTCTGGCCGCCGTCAACGTTAGGACAGATCCCGCCCCCTTTTCACACTCCACAGGCGCAGCATTTGGCTGTTTGGATAGTGGACGTTCTAGCACAAAGTCGCCCGAGTAGATATGGTGAAAGGGTGCATTTTGAGTTACCGTTAAATAACCGTACATACTAACAACCTACTAAATAGTTGGGGGCAATGATACCGATCTGATTGACCATTACAAGGCGGAACTTGGGCACTGTCGCGAACACCAGCGCAGATGGTCTGTCTGCACCTGTGTGGTCTGTTTTACTATTCTGCTGACAACCCGTCATCCCTCTCTCAGAGTCGGCGGATACGGTACGTGCCGACCTCAGCCGGCTGACCACTACACTGGACGCTACCCGCAACCGGCTCCAGCTGAGTGGCTGTAACCTGCCCTCCGACTGTGTGGGTAAGTCCGGATCCGCCGCTCAGGTTCCGTGTGCTCTACACGCTGGCTGCCCAGAGAGCAGGGTTTAGGTGACGGTAGGTGTTTGGATGGCGAGTGGGTATCCGCTGCCGGTGAAGAGGGGCAGACGCAGTGTCCGCATGTCATTTTGTAGTGAGTATACGAGTATGTCACTCCCATTGACAGCTGACTGTGTGTTTGGGCAGTGGATGGGCAACCAATATTGGTAGATAGTGATAGAATGAGATACCGATGTGTGTCCTTGTATTCAATGAATACTAAACACCGATGAACAGTGCCACTGACTGTCCGGTCCGTCCGCCAGGGGAGCTGGAGGCGGCCGCCGAGCGGTGCCGGGAGGCGCTGTCGGCGCTGGACGCCTCCGTCTCGCCGCACGCCAACCTGCTGCAGCATACGGCCGAGGCGGTGGAGTCGCTGCAGCGCGCCGTCCGCGAGAGCGGCCGCACCATGGCCAGGTGATACTACCGGGCATCCGCCGAATACCCGCCGTACACCCGCCGGAGTCACCGGCTGCAATACGCTGGATAACTGACCCACTTCGAGCAGTCGAAATTTAACCGCGCTATTCAATGCAACTGCCCTTGTCTGCCCATTCAATGCAAATGTCCTTGTCCGCAAAGAAATGACAAAGGATATTCTAAAGAACGGGTGGCCAGGGCTTTGCTGCGACTGCTGGTCATCTCGCGTTTAATTAACATAGAGTTCGGCATGTGGAAAAGTACGCGGTGTTTGTGGGGAGGGAAGCAGAATTATGCACTAATTTATTCTAGGTCAATCATGCGGCCCTATAACATGTTGCTCATCAAAACAAAATAACACAACACTAGTCTCGCTCATGGTTCGTGGGCCGCTTATACTAGACCCGCTCCACATCGTCACGTTCTTCTTACGGGGTAGATGGCTTTCACAGTTGCGTGATAAGTGACACATCGATTGACCGTTGTTTTGCAGTTCGTCGGAGCTGCTGGACGAGCTGGGCTCGCTGTCGCTGCAGGAAGCGTCGCTCTCTCTGTGCTCGGGGGTCGCTGCTTCGCACCAGACAACCATTACGTCCAGCGAGTAGCACCGGAACCGAGGCACAGGGCTGATACTAGCGGACCAACAGTGTTACTATACGGGAACGAAAGCGCGCTGTGCTCCCCAAAATGTATGTGATTGTCACATTGTGACACGTGCTTCCAGTGCGCACTAGGCTGCAACCGCCACCATGCAAAAGCTTCAGCAAGGTGTGATATTTGGTTAGATGTTGTTATGCGCCCCGTGCACTGTCGAACGTTGCCGTTCCTCCACTTGATGCAGCATAATGTCGCGAGATGTCTTTTCGCGAGTGGCTGGTACTGTTGGGGGGGGGGGGGGGGGGGGGGAGAGTTCCAGTGTTGTTGACGCGGGCGTCTCGATTTCGAAGCACTTGGTCGGGACTCGGGACGTGCGCCGTGAATGTTCGTTGGTCCGCTCCGGTCCACTACGACAAATAACTTGAAATTGCTCGATTTGCATTGTTTTTATAAGTGTGTAAGAATTAAGAAATAATATACGTATGTGAGCTGCACAGCCAGAGATAATTTTTGCAGGCTAGTCGCTAGCAGAGTGTGACTATCCTCTGGACTGGAATCCTCGCAATCGACATTCCAGTAAAAAAACAGCAGTTATGCCTACGCATTATTGATATGAAGTCAACTTTATCGCGTTATTACTACACATTTAGTCTGAAAGTTTTGAAACAGGCTTTTTTTTTTGCTCTGACTCTGAGCCGTAACTTGGTGCTGGATGCTCTGTGCGGTGTGCACACGCAGGCCTCTGCTGCCCGATATGGTATCCAGTATCCACTATCCATAGTGAGCCGCAATTAGATATTAAGTTCGTTCGTAGCGATATAGCTATGCTTTGTTTGTATTTGAAATGGGGTTTCAGTAACGGACCGAAATTTCCAGCTAAATCGCTTTCGAGGGGGCATGGTGGCTATTGGCTGATGGTTGAAGAATGACAGAAAGATGGGTGGGGCAGGGGTCAGATGCGTCAATATAGACCAATGTAGACCTTCTCCAGTATGTACACATGTTTTTGTAAGTTCCTATCATACCGCCGAGCCTAGGACGGGGGGAGGGGGAGATCTGGGTGCCCCGGATGGCCCCTTGAAAGGCGCTAAGGGTCTCTCCTTGCTGAATTCATATGTTTAGAAAGGGGCCGAGTATGGCCGCTAAATACCTACCAACGGTCAAGCTATTTTACCATATCTGCACCACTTGGGCCAGAGTCATCTGAGGGTGGATGGAGGGAAGTCTTGCGAGCAAACTTTTTCCATATCAAATTGCTCTGTTATAAGTATAATATCTTCGATTTATTCTAAAAAGCCACGTGTTGGATCAGCAAAGCCGGATATTATTTTTTGCAGCTTTTTAGGTGATTTATCCTGAAGATTGCTCACATCAGCGCCAAGATTAGCACGATGGGCAGGGGAACTGACCAATAGGCTTGAAGAATTTTCTGCGAGCAGCAATTCTTTCAGCTGATTCGTCAATTCTTTACCCAGCGACTTCAGTGATCGGACGGGAACTGCCAGGTCACTGATTCTTTGAACACTCACAACTGACAAGTGCATTTTTGTGCAAAACGAACCAAAACAAACTCATATTTCACTTTTTGACAGTGTGTGGTGGACATTATAGAGTTCAGTGGTGGTGGACGATGGTGTGATTCTGTGCATGATTCTTAGCAAGATTCCCATATTCAGTGTTGGTATCTTGGTATTTTATCCAATAAAAGGATACTTGTTAGTTTGGAGTCAATTCTGAAATGCTGACGGCCTTCACTTGCACTGGCAACATTGTTCCGCAGCTCCAGCTTCGCACACCATTTTATGGTGAGTTCAACACATTTGTTTTGCTCATGCATGCCATCTTGATAATTTTGGAATTTGAGCTTTAATTTTGTATTTTAATTCTTTATTCTATGCTTACTATGTCTTATTCCATGTTTGTGATGCATAATAACAAATGTACGCAAGCGCAAGGCAAATGAGTTCAGTTGGGGAAACTACGAGGAGCCAAACAAAAATTGGATTAGCCAATCAGCGGCTGGAGTGGGCGGGGCGATGACCATATATGGTCATAAAATCAGACAACTTCATCTTTTCAATGAATTTTAGCATTCAAATGAAAAAATAAGGCATAAGAATGTTTTTTAACCACACAAAACCTACACTCACCCGGTGCATAATTATCTGGCGGCTCTAAATCACAGAGTTACAACGCAAGGTCAAACCGTGATTGGCAAATATGGCGGATTGAAACAGACGCGCCAAAAAATGTAAGCAGTACCGTGGTTTTAAAATGTCATTATTTTTATTATTTTGTTTATGGTTTTTCTAATTGTAGTTAATTTATTATTTTAGAATTAAATATTTATGTTTATTGTAATTAAATTAAATCTTTTAACAATTTTCTTTCATAAAACCAATCCATTTATTGAATGGCCAGCTGATTGTGACGCCCAGAACCTGCAGAAAAGCTGTTTTCCCATCGCCATTTTCGAGTCAATTCGCCGAATTAAATCTAATCACACTAATTCCTAGTGAAAAATGGAAGCCTTTTCTCTCCAATAAGTGGACGCGATACCGCAAGTACCGGCTTGTTATACCGTTTTTCACCCTTAGTAGCGGGGGCTGCATTTATGCCCATATATGGTCATCAAAAGTCCATTTATTGACCAATCCATTTTTTGACATTCGCCTCGTAGTTTCCCCAACTGAGTTGTTTCCCACTTTGTCATTTGTACAGGCTGTACTAGTTTGTTGTTGTGTCACCTTTGTTCCTACTTAAGATAGCTACGTGCTTACCCCTTTGAGCCATGGGTACCTACTGCAAAACATGGCAACACTGAGAATTGACAAGTTGCATCAATAAAGGGTGCATAAATAGAATTGTTAACAAAAATTTTCATTGGAAAGCTTAAGAGTAGGAATACATACATGATAAGTAATGCAATTACAGATACATTAAATATTTATTGGTCAGCTTGTTTATCTGAACCATTGCTGCCTTTTGCTGTGTAGTGTGTGACCTCTGCCCACTGTCACCATTTTCTTGGTCAACCCTGCACCAATAGAGCTGATAAACATTCTGTTAGGGCCTGCTCCACTTTGCAAAATTCTACACCATTTTGTCACCACAGTGAACGGACACTGAACCTCACTTTGGCTGAGTGCCCCTGCTCTGGCCACAGACAAGATGCTTCTTATAGGTATCCTGAAACAAGACCTCCTCAAAATTGGCACCCATGTTTTGTATTCCAGCATAGTTATTGGAGCTTTCTCTTGGCAGAAGCATCTTCCCTAAGGTGTCCACCTGCTCATTATTGCATCTCAATTCTCTAACAATTCTGATATGTTGGATTAACTTCAATTTCTGTAGCATCACAAAAGATTGTGACAGGTGGTTGCAGAGGCTTATCAACGACTTCTGTTGAAGCTATGTAAATGTGCAGCATCAACAAATAAGGGAATAATTGACCAATCTGCACTAAGAAGTCAAAATAGAATGCTCTCAATTACCTACCTAGCCTTAGCTGCACCAGCTCTGATGTAGCTAGCTGTAGCTTATGAGGCTCTAAGCCTATCCCTGATGGTCTTTCTGCACCCCTAATTGATAGCTTTTTACCAATCCCAAATATTATTTGCTGGTCCATGGTCAGCACTTATGCTCCTGCATCTGATCCCAACAACTTTTTGGCCACCCCTGCCCAGCTAGGGCTGGATTCTGTTTGCTGGCCCATAGTCAGCAATGATGTTCCTGCCCCTGATCTCAACTTAACTTTTGATGGCCCCTGCTCAGCCAATGTTGGACTCTGCTACCCATGGGCCATGATATTGCCCATGTTGCCCTTGATGGACCTTCTTTGGCTCCTGATGGGCCTCGCTGCATCCCTACATACCTTGAACTGGTACTGTATCTGGCACTGGTGTCTGGTACTAATTGGTATTCCTTCAGTTCTGACTGGAAGCATCTCTTCTCTTTGGCTCAACCTCTCCAAATGGGGTCCCTCCATTTGCATTCACATTATGCCACATCATCCAGTACCCGTTGCCTTGTCTTTACCTATTGGGACTGAACAAATTATGGGTGTTGATGTTTTCCAAAAGTAGGAGCCCTGTCTGTACGTGTGCCATTCGTCGGATGCTATGGGCGACAGCTGACAACGACCCTCGAACAACGGCGTTCCCTCGGAACAGTGTGTGCACTGTGCCCCATCGGTGCCGGCGGTTTGTCGTCGATAATGGCGTCGAGGATGACGCCCGCTGATCCCGGCTTATCAACATCAACAAAGTCGCAATACATGATTGCTGGAGGACGAGGTTGAAGTCCTAAATTGGTTTGGGTTTTGCGTGTGGTTGGGATTTATGGTAATGAGTAAAAAAAGAAGAAACGCTGTCATTTACAACTAAGACCGCAACAATATGTCGATTTCAGTGTCATAGAGCATGTATTGCAGTAACGGAGATCGAATTGTCAGACTCTACATGCCCACTAATTCACCTCATACCTGGAGGGGGGGGGGGGGTAGGGGTGCACTTCCACAATGTCTGAGGGTGGATGGAGGGAAGCGGTTAAGCTCCAGCGCCTTTCTCTCGCCCTGTCCCCTAGGCCGGGATCTTCGTCGGTCATTCCCGGAAAACTAGCCGCAGCCGCCGCATCCATAGAGTTTGCTGATGTTGTCGGCAGCCTCCTTTGTTGTTATACTCGAAATGTGGAAAGTTTGCCAATCTGTTATCTTTGACTGGAGTCTTTGTTGAAAAGTGACGAACCCAAGCTCGAGCTCGAGGACATTTTTTTTTTTGCTTGCACCGTCAGATTAATAACTCCAGGCTAACTCAATTCCTTTGGCCCGACTCCTTAAGTCTAGATTTGATCCAACAATATTGCTCATCATGCGAGCCAGTTAGCAAAAGCGTCCTCGATCTTTCCGCGTGGTATTGCCATTGATTGGCTATTCACTTGTGAATTGTGAACACCATTAGCAAGATTTGGGCTCGGTGTAGGTACTGGAGGAGAAGGTAATTGTGCTCTCTGCGGCCAGTGCCCCTCTATTGTCGGTCACCGGCGCGAGGCGAGCCAATCTCCGCGGCTGTCCGGCTCGTTAGTCATTCGCCGGGACCCGGGTGGTGACGGACGGACGGCGGGGCCTGTTCCCGGGAAATCAGTTACTGTAGCAATCAGCCAGTCACCGAGGGGATCAGTTAGTAATAAATGGCGACAGTCAATTATCGAGTGCACCAGACGCTGACCAATAATATCAGCCAGTTAGGATGGGTTTCAGCCAGTAACAAAGAGTATCAGTCACGAAGAGCATTAGTCAGTTGCCCACCATGCTACCATTTTATTAGCTACCATGGTATGAGTCAGTTATTTAGTTACCGATTACATCATCCAAGTCTGTAATCATTAAAGGTAGTGTGCCACCTTTGAAAGATTTCCCATTTTATTTTTCCTAGGATAAGAAGCTTCTGTTTTTACCTAATATCGCAAAAAAAATCAAAAATGGGCCTGGAATAGTGCCTTTT